ATTTGCACATACACCTTTTCCTATTTCATACAATTCCCCTAATTTATATAATGCCACTTTATTATCATGTTCCGCCGCTTTATGGTACCAATAATTAACTACATCTAAATCATTGATAATTTTCTCATCATCTTCATATAATGACGCATCAATATCTTTGATTCCAACTGCCTTATTATAAGTTTCAAATCCTTTAACTTTATCAACCTCCGTTCCAATTCCATTCACATAACAATACCCAAGTTGAAATATTGCGGTTAAACATCCTTGTTTGGCAGATTCTTGATAACATTCAAATGCTTTAAATTCATCCTTTTCAATGCCATTTCCTAACTCATAACATTCCCCCAAATTATATAGTGCAATCTCATATCCTTTCTCTGCGGCTTTTTGATACCAATAAAAAGCCTTTTCCATATTCTTTTCCGTTCCTTCACCTCTCTCATATAAAAGTGCAAGACTATTTTGTGCGACTTCATATCCTTTCTCTGCCGCTTTTTGATACCAATAAAAAGCCATTTTTAAATTCTTTTCCACCCCTTCACCTCTTTTATATAAATAACCAAGATTAAATTGTGCAAATTCATAACCATTCTCCGCGGCTTTTTGATACCAGTAAAAAGCATTCTCTAAATTCCTTTCCGTTCCCTCCCCCCTTTCATATAAACAACCAAGATTATTTTGTGCAATGTCATGACAATTTTCCGCTGCCTTGTTATACCAATAAAATGCCATCTCCAAATTCTTTTCCGTTCCTTCCCCTTTTTCATATAAGCAACCAAGATTATTTTGTGCGAATTCATAACCATTCTCGGCTGCCTTTTTATACCAATAAAATGCCATTTCTAGATTCTTCTCCATACCTTCCCCATTCTTGTATAAACAACCAAGGTTATTCTGTGCGAATTCATAACCATTCTCCGCCGCTTTTTGATACCAATATAAGGCCTTTTCTAAATCTTTTACCGTTCCTTCCCCATTTTCATATGAGAATGCGAGATTATTTTGTGCGAAATCATAACCATTTTCCTCTGCTTTTTGATACCAATAAAAGGCTTTCTCCAAATTCTTTTCCGTTCCTTCCCCATTCTCATATGAGAGGGCGAGATTATATTGTGCGAACTTATTTTCATTTTCCGCCGTTTTTTGATACCAATTGAAGGTACTCTCTAAATTATCCGGTTCATTTTCTGTCGTATAATATGAATAATTCTCAGATTCCATCATTTCTCAACCGATTTGGGAATTATTTGAAACCCTTAAAACCCCATTTATAAGGTTCAAAAAATGGTTCAAGTCTTTATTGGGTAATTAAGTTTGCCTATCAATTCTGAAAATCATTATTAAATGAACAAAAGCCTATAATAATCATAGATACTGTAAATTAATTGATAGCCTTTTTGTTTAAAGGGATCTTTTTATCTTTTTTTTTTTTTTAAAAACAGAAAAGTTATTTCTATGATTCAAATCAAAAAAAAATTTGCTTGGATCAAGATGAATATGTCTCACACCTAATATACGGTAGGTAAATCGTGACAAAGTAAAACGGAGCTCACGCGCGTTCAAATTTAACGCACGAAAATTGATCAGAAGGCATTCTCAAATGTCAGGGTTAGTAGGTGTCGTCATCGGAGGCAGAGAAAAGACACTTTACGACTCAAAGAAGAAAACGTATCTACGCCCCTTGAAACTTGTACAGTCGTTCGAAATACGTTCCCAATCATGATAAGAATCGTGCGTTACTTTACTCCCATTCGAATCTGCTTCGATACCAATGATCCGTGATATCATTTCTTCACGTATTATCATCCGTTTCATTTTTAGCCTTTATTTTTTATGCACATCAACTTCAAGAATGAAAGTGAGTATTAAAAAAACTTGCGGTACTTTTTTCAGTTATATAGGTAAATTTTTTATCATGCAAAGCGATTTAATCCTGTAATAAATAAATTATATGATATCTAGAAACAATTCTTTGTTGAATATGATGTTCGATAACAAAGGAATGGTGGTATGAATAAGCCGCGAGATTGCCCATTTCCAGAATCATGAGCTCTCGTATTGTAATTATGAAATTGCATGCGACGGTGCCTGCAGATGGTTAAGAGAACCAAGACGGAATTAGCAGAGGTCAAAAAAAAAAAAAATAATAATTTTCAATCTCATCAATAATAAAGAATTGAAATTCGATAAAGGTTCATATTTGATAAAGTTTCAACCCTACCGTGAAGTGTCGAAACCTTGTGTGAATTCTATCAGCTCGTTTTCGAGAGTAACTTTTCTGACTTCACTTTAATTACCAGTCAACCCTTCCCGACGTACAATGCTGGATCCATTACGAACGCGCAAAGGTATTCTCATTCAATGCGTGCACTCCTGCTATAAATCAGTACATTTAACGGTAGTCGTCAAATCCTCAGCCAATAAAATCGTTCGTAAGCCCATGTCGATTACATTGGCTAGCTCGTGTTGTTTGAGCTGTGTCACATGCAACCTACATTTCTGTAAATGCACGTCTCCCAAGGGGTGCATTTATGACTTGCCTTTAATACTTATCGATTCGTTGTATAGTTAGTTAATATCGGGATAAAACATCATGTATGAATTCTAGTCGTCCAAACTATTTATTTATACCTACATCTCGAGTTTCACTCGAAAAATATTTTTGGCATAACAAAAATGTTGTGCAAGCCAATAAATTTATCAAAAACGAACCCCCTGATCAGAATAGAATGATTAATAAACGATTCCGAGTTAATACTTCTAGTGTGGCGCAGCAAACCGTAAGGATAATAATATTTATAATAAATAATTGTGCCGAAGGGACATGGATACGGCACTTTACCCCTCCTTAATATTGACTAATTAAGGTTATGCGTCCCCTCGTTTCAAGCAGTAATTATTATTATGATTATTTTCTTTTTATCTTTTTATTTTTAAAAAAAAATTCATGTATTAAAAATTTTTTTTTTTTTTAGTTTTGATACACGACTTTACGTTGTACGACACGGGAGGGTTTTAATCGACGAGGTAACTTTTTTTTTTTTCGACGCGTAAAATTCATTGGCTCGATAAAGTTGAAAATCGCACCAGCAAACAATAATAAATCGAGAGAGAAAAAGAGAAATTTTATGGTCAAACTCCACGCGGAAATAATTCACATGAAGGAGCTAATGGACGTGATTAGTTGGAACGTTGCCTTAAGAAGTTAAATTGATAACGCATATAACACGTTTAGGATTTATCTCGCCCTTTTTTGTATTCTTTTGTTACCAAAGGGAGATTCATTCTTAAATTTTTTTTTTTCTTCGTGCATCGATCATTTAAATAAAACCTGATTGAAAGCAAGAAAAAAAATGATAGTTCAAACTAAAGTGTATTGCGTGCATTTAAACTAGGATTTTTATCGAAATAGAATCATGATTAATTTGGAATTTAGAAGCAGAGATTGATAGAAACGTACCTTCTTTATTAGTGAGAGGCACCATGCGTGTGAACCATCTAAACCTTCCAAAAAAGTTGCAGTTGGCGAATAGAGATTTTACATTTATTGTGTAAATGGGTATAGTCTTGCGCACGTAACTCGATTCGTATAGTGATTAAAGTTTAATTAAATCTACGCACGTGATTAACTTTCAATTATGGTAACTAAGCCACCATTTAATTCGATTGATCGCATGATGTCCGAAGAAAAAGAAAAAAAAAAGGTATAATGAGTTCATTTTAATGAGCATAGATAAAGATCAAATCAATGATATAAACGAGCAAGGATCGGCGCAGGCATCCCAAAAATCGACAATCAATCTAAACTTTAATTTTTATTCCTCTCAACTTGTTGGAAAAAAAAAAAAAAAAAAAAGGAGTTGTCGGAATTGAGGAAAAATGAACCTTACGAGATAATTACTTTGGATCGATTGTTCTCAGGAGAAAGAAAAGGTCTCATAAAGAATACGAATGAATTCGAACATTGTTTTAAACCCCCTCATGACGCCCAAAGTGGTATATAATTTTTACATTTCGATCAAAAAATATGCATTATATAATACATTTTAATTCGACGCTAAAAAAAAAAAAAAAATAAGAGTTTTAAGCATTTTTGTTCGTAGAATGAGAATAACAATGGGGAATGAAATAATTCATACCTCATGACCGGGGACAGATTGTTTGAATCGAGTTATGACGATAACATGCCACCCGTGCTCACGTGGCGGTAATGCGGTCACTGATTATCGCGTGCATGTGACCGTATTGTTAACCCATTTTGAAGAGCTGTTTAGGTAACAATCTTCTTGAAATTTCCAACACAAAACATAAAAAAAAGTTTCATTGAGACAATTTTTTTTCTAAAGTACAGTATTTTCTGATAGCAGTTTCTAACACAATGACAATCATTGTTAACTAATGGTAAATAAGGTAATAAAATGCAGCTAAGGCGGCATTCGCGCATGGAATTGTGGCTTGCGCATTCAAGAAATACTGAAATTGGTCAAACCCTTTTGTCATATCAAAGATCAACTTTGTTATCGATTTAACTTTAATTAAGGGCGACATTTGTCAAAAATGGCACAACAATTTAACCTGTTTTATCTTTCTTTTTTTCTTTTTTTTTTTTTTATTTACTAAATCCCTTAAATAGTTAAATGATATCAAATCACCTTTGAATTAAAATTTATGGGAACATTTTTCCTCCGCATATATTTTAATGGGATAATCTCTTATTTCTTAAACCTTGTTTAGCCTTCTTCCTTGTAAAAAAAAGAAAAAAATATGGCGAAAAAGTAAAAAATTTTTTTTTTCATCCTTTCGACAAAATATCAATCTGTTCACTGAAAAATTTCGATTAAATAAATAAATAAAAGGCGTTTTTTTTTTTTAAAGAACAAAGAACCCGATTTGATGTTGCACATCATAACATAACAAATCCACGTGATTCTAAATAATTCTTAAAAGGGGGGAATTCTTTCAAAATTTTAGCTGGTTTCATTAAACGTTTGAAAAAAATGGGAAACCAGCAATCATACTTTGATACTTTAATTCATGGAAATGAATGTGGTCATAACCATCGTAGAACACATCGGTCGACGGGCAGTACATCATCGTTAAATTCAGCCTTTCACCACTCCTCGAATTCCCGTCATTACAATCCAAAGGATTGTTGCGCTGTTTGGAAAGCAATTAAGTCGATATTAGGAATTTGGACGACGGGAAATAAAGAAATTGATGAGATTATAAAAGAAACTCAACGTTTAGCCTCAAAACGTCGTAAACCATGGAAATGGATCCCTTATGAAAGATTTGAGGATGTTAAACTGTTGGCAAAAGGTGGTTACGGTCATGTATATTCCGCCATGTGTACCGAAAAAGAAGTATACGGTCGAGTAGCTCTAAAAAGCCTCGACTTTTCTGAAAATATATCCAGCGAATACCTTCAAAAGGTACTTTAACTTTGAATTCTTTGTTTTTATTTTTATTTTTATTTTTTATTTTATTTTATTTTATTTTTTCGAGAACAATTTTTTCGTCATTTTCTTCTTTCTCTTTCTCTTTCTTTTTTTTTTTTTAATAATAAAAAATTAAAATACTTACCACACTTTCTCCTCTCTCTCTCTCTCTCTCTCTCTTTTGAAATTGATAGCTACGAACGCAAATAAAGTTTGAACATTCTGGTGGTCTTATACGGATATACGGAATAACCAAAGATCCCGTAACGAATAATTACATGCTGGTCATGAAATATGCCAAATGTAACCTTCGTCAATATGTGAACAAATATTTTACTACCTTTTCACTCTCAAATAAAATTGAGTTATTGGTTCCAATTTCGGATGGACTTCGAAAGATTCATCAAGCAAAATTAATTCACGGAAATTTTCATCCGGGAAATATCTTACAAACGATCATTCCAATGGAGAAAAATTACACCCCGAAATCTTGGAGTTGTATAAGTGATTTGGGTTTACATGGGCCCGCTTCGAATGTACCGAGGAAGATCCTTACCGAAAAGACTGAATTCGTTGAAGAACCTCTTGATGATTACACCGATGAGGATAACCTGATTCCCGAAAAACAAAAAAAAGATTTCTTTTCATCGTTCACCTCAACACCTTCAAGAAGGAATTCAACTTATGAAAAACCTAAAGTATATGGGGTTTTACCTTATATAGCTCCGGAAGTTTTACGAGGACAGAAGTTTACACAGTCGGCCGACGTTTACGCATTCGGGTTCATCATATATGAAGTGTTCATGGGACATCCCCCGTATTTTGACGTCCCCCACGATTTTAAATTAGCGCAAAAGATATGTCAAGGGCATAGACCAGAAATATCATCTTCAGACATGCCTCAAAGAGTGAAGAAATTAATAACGAGTTGTTGGGATTCTAAACCAGAAAATCGACCATCTGCTCAAGAATTACATAACATGATAAGGGGATGGTATTGGAGGTTGGATCCCGAAATGAAATCCTTAATGATAGCCGATGACGAAGCATTTAGAGGAACACGTAGTTCGACACCAGTTAGCGTCAAGGATAGTGGATATTCAACTCCTCCAACTCCAGGATCTCCGATATCATCCTGCTGCTACCCACAAACTCCGTTCACAACCCCACTTATCAACACGAGCATTTCAAGTTCATATTCGGACAATTTTAATTCTCCCACATCGATGTCAACCATGAACTCGTGGAATCTTAATGGTTATAAAGTACATCCCGAAGCCGTTTACACTTCTCGCCTACTAGAATACGACAATCTACCGAACATTTCTTGGTATGAATAAAGAATGATTGTATAATAATTAGGTGATTAGGCGTAGGTTGGTACGATAAATACTACGCGTATTACTTTTTTGTAGAATAATGTAGAATTTTTTGTGAAATTTTTTTTTTGAAATTTTTTTTTTGAAATTTTTTTTTTTTTTTTTTACACGGGTTAAATGGGGCATTCCTCTTGTAGATTAGATTGTAAATTGTAAAAAAATTTTTTTTTTCCCCCTTTTTTTTAAAAATGAAATAATGAAGAATGAAAGGAATTTAAAATAAAAAAATATTTAATGACCATAAATGGAGTTTCTATCGACATACAAAATTTTTTTTCTTATAAAAAAAAAAAAAACTCGATAGAGTTAAATAACTAAGCTAAATATACTATAAAATCAAATAATATACGTGCTTTTATATTTACAATGTTTATATTAATATGTATGCTGATGACCCCTCTTCGCTTTATTTGTATATAATTTCATCATCACGTTCCGGGGGGAAATATCCAATTAACTTTGATTCGATGCTTTTATCTTGTTTCTTGCTTGGAAAACAATCGAGACAATCAGCTATACTTAACAATAATAACAATATAGTAAATGTCCACATCGCTATAAAATTTATTAATCCTATCAGGCATGCTGAACGTGCTATCGATGATTCATGTGTATGATTTGATGGACATTCTTGTGATGTCATATGCGTATATATGCCTTTTAACATAAGGAGGATGAATTTGAATTCTTACGAAGGAGGAACATAAAAAAGAAAGAGAATTTAAATGGATGGAGAACTCACTTGCTATTATGAGGATTAATAGCGAAAAGCAACTAAAAAAGAAAGAAAAAGGAAAAGGAAAAAGGAAAAAGGAAAAAGGAAAGGAAGAAAATTTTTTAAGGAAACATTTGAAATCGACGCGAAAAAAAAAAAATCAATTTCAGGAGATATACCATTTTTCGTCCCTTATATGATTCATTAATCCTTTCATATCACAGCATCGACCTTTAATCGCCGTGAACATTAATCCAACTAAAGATATCGTCATCATCAACCATTTAGAATCAGAATTAATCGTTTTCTCATACCCAACATTCAAACACACCTTTATTAAAACTTACTAGGAAATGTAAGCACCAAAAATAAATAACTAAATAAAAAAAAAATACATAAATAAATCTGTTTCAAAATATAATAACAGACAAACAAAGTACTTAAATGTCTGCTTACAGGCACTCGATGATGGGATCCTTTAACTTTATTTCACCACTTGCTTGTTTGAACAATATTATTTTTGTTGTTTCTAAAGAAAATATATTATCACGATGTCTATCATCTTGTATAACATTCATCACGAAAATAACAGATTACTGTCTCACCTAAGGCTGGACACGCGAAAATCAAAATAACTACAGCTGTACATATCATTCCTCCCATCGTATACTTGACCAATGTCATGGATGAGCGACATCTATCCATCTTGTCTCAATTTATTATTTTTATTATTTTTATTTTTATTTTTTATTTTTTATTTTTTTACAGAAAGAAAATAATTATGGTTGATTAAATTGAATTTCATAACATTATATAAAAGGACAAATTTTTTTTATTATGTTTATCATTAAAGCCACTGGCTTAGAAAATGATGGTTCTTTTTTTTTGCCAAGTGGCTGTGTATAACTTTTAAATTCAGGCTTAGACGAAAAGAAATTGTGGAAAGAAGTTAAAATATTTTTGATCTGTGCGCATAAAAAAAAAAAAATCACGTTATTTAATTAAATCTTTAATTTTTATGGGCTTTGTGTATCATAAGTAATCGAAAAAAAAAAGACGTCGTATATCTAAGCCTGAATCACGTGGAAAGCAAGCAATTTTATAATCCGATTATCAGTTTTCCAATGGTAAAATGGTAAACCAATTCAATAATTTCAATTTGTAATTTTTTAAACCGAGATAACCATCAATGGTTTCTAATTAAAAGAACAACAATTGATAAATATATTTTTAGCCAAGTATTTTATTTATCGTGTTATTATAAGGTTAGAATAATTAAAAATGTTTTATTTTATTTATATATAATTCACATTTTATTTATAGATTTTTATTATAAAATAAAAAATATTTTTTCAATTTTAATTTCATTCTTTGTTTAATTTTTCATAAAAATAATAAATAATCAGAAGGGAATTTATAGTAAATAAGTAAGCAAATTTATCTGAACCTAAATAATTAAACTTAATTTCTAATATTAAAATTACTTATATAGTATACAAATCTTAAATTAATTTTGGTTTTTGAATTTAATTAAGTTTTAATAATTTCTATTATAGATTTAATAATATTTTTTTTTTTAATCAATTTTTGGTATTTTAAACAGTATTACTATTGTTAAAGTAAAATTAGTTAATTGAATTTATTTTTTATTTAGAATATTAATATTTAATAATTATATTTAATTATTTTAATTAGAGCAATGACATATATTACTTAATATCATTTTATTAGAGACATCAACCTTCCACCCTCAGGTAAGATTTCTGATCACATGCATATTGATTAATTTCCTTTTATAGAATTTATATATCAGTATATTATATTAGTTGTAAAATATCAAAATGATTAAAAATGATAAGTAAAATAATAAAATAGAAAGTTTATTATGCAATAGTCTATTTTATATTCAAAAAAAATATATATTTAAAGATTTCAAGTGTTCAAAATCCCAATTTAAAGAAAAATATAACGCTGATAATCTCATTTCAGTGATCATATCTTACTGCGTATTACTGCGAAAGGAATAATTTTGCATTCTTTCACTACAAAAAAAGAAATTCGAATTGCTACGGAAGAGAAATATTTTGCTATCAAAAAAAAAATTCAGATTACTATAAAGTTTCATGATATGCTCCAACTTTTACATTTTGATTATAAAAACTTTTTTATAAATAAACGCGTCAATAATTTTATTTTCAATGCAAAAATAAGCAATCAAACCTTTTTTGTTAGCCCTAAATTTAATAAGAAACAAGTATATAATTTACTAACAAATAAATATTAAGAATTCATCAACGCTTATGTATATAATATTATGGTTAAAATAGGAAATAGTACCCCTAATTGTGCTGAAGTTTGTGACACAGCAGCAAAAGAATAAAGCAAAATTAAAAATAAGAATAAGACGGAAATTGAAGATATTATTAGAGATTATCTGACTACATCAGTAAATTTAATAATGCGAAGTATTACGTAAACCCTACGCTTCGTAATCTTACGTAAGGTTACGAGCCCGTCG